AAATAGTTCTTAGAAGTAAGCCCAACAGAAAGACTGCACTCATGAAATTATGCAGCACTTTGGCCCAGCGTTTCTACCTGTATCATATGAGACCAACAGGACTATAAGACCGTGCTCCAAATCACTTCCTTCTGCATCAAAACTGGCAAACCATATACATTTTGGATACTGAGTCAAAGCAAGCAACCTGCAAAATCTCTTGTTTTGCCTCAATATTCAAAAACTGTCAGGTAACTTGTTTTTCCCCCAGTATCAGACATTATAGAAATACTACATGTTTTGAAGACATTTGTCTTCTTATGAATGCTGTGCTTATTTGCGTAACATGCTTAATAAATATGCCTAAAATGCAATAGGCTACAGGCACTCTTCATTTAATGACTGAGTTCCATTCCTATGACTAGGTCATTAATTGAACTGGTTGCTAAATGAGAAAGTGCATATTACTATATTCACAACAAAGAAATGTTCAAAGGAAACACCAACTTGATGACCTTGCTTTTATTTGCATAACTCTTACATGCAGTACTATGATGTATAACAGAACAAAAAACTATAGTACTGTACAGTACAGTATGATTGGCAAAAATTACAGTAGTTATAAATAACTGAAGTTCCATAAACAAGATGTACAGAACTGTACAAAAAAAAAGACAGGTCATAAGTCTGAGCAGCAGGTTGTAAGTCTGAATAGCCCATCTCAATTATAAGTTTGAACAGTCACTAACCAGATGGATCCTTAAACAAGGAATATCTGTGCTTTTGGGTTTTTTTGTTTGTTTGTTTGTTTGTTTTTCCAGTACTGGGAATCGAACTCATGACTTCACGCTCGCCAAGCAGGTGCTGTGCTGCTGAACTAAATCCCCAGCCCTTATCTGTGCTTTCATGTCTCAGGGGTTTCCTTGTTTCCCATTGCCCTTCCCCTCTTATCTACAGTCAGGGTAGGTTCACTGTAGGTGATTCATGCTTTCTTCGGCCCAAATTTTCATGATAAGACACTTTGGCTCTGTGGAGAAGGACATTCTATAGTTTACCTTTCAGTGTATTACCTATGTGGGACTTAGAGCCTGACCAAGACATGTGATTGTTTGATTCTGGAGGAAGTCTAGCAACAGCATTCGTGTAAAAGGAAATGAAAGCAGGACCTTAGTCCCTGTAGAAAACCTCTCAAACAGTGCTAGATGCTTTGCTGAGATATGTCTGAAGGAATGATAACACGATGGCTAGCTAAGTCAAAGTTCAGTTCCCGTGATAATTAAGCTGTATTCTCCTCATTAATCCTGTTAATGATTCCTACCATTTCCCCTGTTCCTGCTTTTTGTGGGAATCCCAATCAAAGGCTAAAGAACATTGTAATCGAGGCTTCAGTCCTGGAGGCTGTAGCCCCCTGGTCCCATAACTTTGTCGCTCTTGTTTCTCTTTTCATCTGCTGCACCTCATTCTCCGGACCTGTCACCCCAGACAGAAACTGACCATACACCGACAGGCTTCTTAGATGTGATGGGTGTTTTCCCAACTGCTTCTTGGTTTTAATGCCAGAGGCATAGGGAATCTATCCCAGGACCGATTCTTTTATTTTTAGCTAGAATCTGCAATAGCTTAATAAATCTCAGAGGTCTTGTAAGTTTTTAACTGGTGAGAACTTTTACTCTGGGGACATACCCGTGTAACTTTATTTTGTGTAACTGTTTTGTGGTACCTGCTCCACCCGCCAAAAAAGTGGACCTTTTGGGTTAATTCTCTTACCTTCTTCTTTTGTGCATCTCTTATATTTTGGTCATTTTTTGTAGGAGATTTTCTCAATTTTATTTTCCAACCCTTCTATTGCGTTTTCCATTTTAAATCATATTTTTACTTTCTCAGAGTGTTTATATTTTTGGAATGCTACTTTTTAGTATGTGCTGGTTTTGTTTTGTGGGTACAATACTGCTTCTTACTCTTCTGAGGGCTTTATTAGTGTGTGGTTCATTCTCAGTGTGTGCATTGCCTTTGTTTTTCCCAAGATTGCATTTCACCATGTTTTGTGGTGGTGGTAAATTTGCACTCTTTTTCCTCAAAAACCTGTGGATTCTTAGCTGCGCCATTGTATTCAGGATTGGGTACTGTGAAGTTGGCTGGACTCCGAGCATTTGAGCAGGACTTGTCTGGAGGAGCGCCTCACCTCAGGGTGATCTGCTGGGGCACTTTAGTTGAGGGATCCTGATTACTAATATCTTCAGATCTCTTCTCTTGGTCTCGTCTGATTCCCCCAGAAGAATCTTCCACTTTTTAGCCTGAAGGCTATCCCACATCTTTCTGTAATTCCAGCAGTTGAGGAGGTCGAGGCAGGAGGATTGCAAGTTTGAGGCCAGACAGAGCAACTTCGCAAAACCGTCTGTCAAAGTAGATCACTTTTTTGTTTACTTTTCTAGACAGGGTCTGATTATATACCTCCAAGCTGGTCTTGAATTCACTATGTAGCTCAGACTAGCCTTGAACTGATTTTTTTTTTTAGAAATGTTGCATTTGTTTCCTAGTCCTTTGCTGAATTCACTTGTCAGCTCTGAAGTCTTTTGGTGAAGTCTTTACAGAGTCCTAAATAAAGGATCATATCATCTGCAAGCAAGGACAATTTGATTTCTACCTTTCCTATTTGTATCCTTTTTATTTCTTTCTCCTGATTAATATCTATAGCTAAAATATCAAGAACTACATTGAATAGGAGTGGTGAGATTGGACATCCTTGCTTGTTTCTTCTTATAAAGTGAAAGGACAAATCTTTGTGACTTTCCAGGGATCCTCTGGGAAACCTCAAAAACAGTTTCATGTGCAGAAGAGATCTTGAATATTTTATTTAATTTTTTCTATATAGCATAGTATTTAGGATCCAACTCAGGCAACAATCAGAGAAACTATCAGGGGAGATTTGAACTTTTGATTAAGATTGGCTCTTGAGTGCCTATAACTGTGACAATAATGCCCTGACAAATAAATATAGAAAGTAACAAAACTATAATAACATTAACTCTTTCATATATGAGAAATTTTTGTTCTTTCCCATTAAATACTCAAGGCTATCATAAAATAAAAATAAATCACAGAAAATGATTACGACTCAGAGTCTTTGCTATCTATATAACATTACTGAGAAGGTATTGTCTTAGTCACTTTCTCTTGGCTGGGACAAAACACCTGACACCCACGATTTAAAGCAAGAGAAGTTTATTTTGCTTCACATCTTAGACATTTCAGTCCTTATGTGATTGGCAGCGTTGGGCAAAGGAAAGCTGCTCATGTCATAGCAGCCAGGAAGCGGAGAAGGAAGATAGAGCCAGTGATGATGAACTTTTAGAGCTTGCAATGATATAAACAGCCCTCTGCGGCATGCATGCCATAGGTTTTCCACCACTGACATGACCCAATGACCCACCTTTCCAACTGGCCCTACCCTTTAACAGCACATTTAGCTATAAACTCATCAGTGGGTGAATCCACCCCTAACAATAGCATTCCCACAACCCAGTCACCTCCCCAAAGCCCTGCCTATGACAGCATGAGGCTTTGGAGGGACCTCTAGATATAAACCGTAACAAGAATAGTCTTTTCCATCTTAAGAGAAAGCATCATCCAATAAACCAAGACAGCAAGAACAGCAAGACTGCACAAACACTGCATAAATTTTTAAAACATTTCATAGATTCTTTCCAGAGCTCAGCTGTGAAAACCAGGGCAAGTGAAACTGACTTATCAAGTTCCATCCTTTATGAATGCCCTTTTATGTTCTGGCTCAAGTTGACACTTCTACTTGGACACAGAGTTTCTCTTTCAGTAGGTCTATGGGAGTCAAAGCTATTTTCACATTAATACTAAGATGTTATGTGTATTAGCATATAATATGCTAACAATCAACAAGTGTTTTTAAATTTTCCCAACTTCAAATCCCAACAGGATAAATATTGATAGTTTTAGCTCACATAAACAAAAGTTGTTTGCAATCCCCAATAAGTCCCAAGAGTATAAAGGGGTCAAAAGACATAATGATATAATAATAATAATGCCTGAGAACCTCTGCTCAAATACATAGCTGTATTTCTGTGTAATTGTTGTTCCTAGTGTAATCTCTAAGACTCTTACTTTTTATTTTTAGCCAAAATTCTGATTTTTGCCAAAGTAACTTAATTTATATGTCACAGATCAAACTGTAGTACGGAGAGGCAGCTAATTAAAACCTGTCTGCCTTGCCTAAGAATTATAGTTCACTATCAAAACTTACAACTTTCTGCAACCACATAAATCTCTTTTACCCCTTTCTAAAATGTTCAGTAGCATTATCCAGAATATAACTTTTACATTTAACATATAAACAGAAGTATATAAATTTAGAACTGCATTTAGTAAGCAATATTTCAGCATCCTATCTGTTGGTCTGCGGTGGGGGGCGGGGCAAGGGAGATTTTTTGAGGGTGAGGTCCCAAGAACACATACGCACAAGACATCAGCAACAACAGCAGGTAGCATGGAGCAAAGCAGAGCCCAAGAGTGCAAGAGCCGCCTGCGTCTTTGTTGTATAATTCTTACACAGGTTGTTATCTCATATTTACATTCTTGTATAATGCCGTAACCAGCACATGCATATTTACCTGTGCTAAGTCATGGTTACATAACTGTATCCCACTGTGCGCCTGTGCTAGACAAGTGAGGTCGTGTCCTCAGGTGTCCTTAGACACCCCTGAGCTTTGAAGCAGTCTGAGTGTTTCCTACATCAGCTCACTATCGAAACTTACAACTTTCTACAACCACACAAATCTCTTTTCCTCCTTTCTAAAATGTTCAGTAGCAGATTCCAAAATATTACATACTGTAGTCCACTGCTAAAGTTTTATATTTAACATATAAACAGAAGTATATAAATTTAGAATTACAGCCAGGCCAGGGGTATAGCTCAGTGGCATAACCACCTGCCTGGCAAGTGGAAGGTCCTGAGTTTAATTCCTGGTCTAAAAAAAAAATTTAGAGTGCTGAGGGTCACACTGAGCTGTTTGCTGCTTCAGGGGTGTATTTAGGAGTCAGCACCATGGCAGACAACATCCACACCAAAATCAAGAACTACAAGACTGCTCCTTTTGACAGCCGCTTCCCCAATCAGAAGCAAACCAGGAACTGCTGGCAGAACTACCTGGACTATCACCGCTGCCAGAAAGCAAGGACTGCAAAAGGAGGTGATGTCTCTGTGTGTGAGTGGTACCGGCGAGTGTACAAGTCCCTCTGCCCCATATCCTGGGTCACAGCCTGGGACGAACACCAAGCTGTAGGCACATTTCCTGGGAAGATCTGAACTAGCTCCACCTGCTTCTCTGTCCTCTGTTCTTCTCCTGGTGGTAAAGGGGGACCTGGTGGTACATGATGGTCCCTACCTTGGGACCCTGAATCATGACTTAACAGTACTCAGTGGAAAAGTGTAAAAAAAAAAAATTTAGAGTTACATTTAGTAAGTGATATTTCAGTGTCCTATCGTACTTAATAAAATAGAAATTATTAAGCATTAAAAATTACTTAATTATCAGTTATTACTTAATTACTTAATTATCCATCAAATAAGTCAATTTACTCTCAGTTCCATGTTTTATATTATCTAATGATCTGGGCAGAATTCTTGCTTCAAATATATGAGGTCCAGAAGCTGATTCCCAGCACTGCAAAAGGAAAAAAAGTCTTATATATTCTTTACTTTAAATCATTTTGGAAATCATTTTTTAAGCTGACATACATACTGTAATCCACTGCTAAAGTTTTGTATGTGGCTCAGTTGTAGCTTAGCCTGCCCGAGACCCTGGAATCCATCCCCAGCACTGAAAGTGAGAAAAAAAAGAAAGAAAGATGAAAGAAAGAAGAAAGAGAGAGAAAAAATTCTTCAATGATGATTCAGTTTAGTTCAGGAATTTGCACTTCTTCATTATGATAAATGTTACATGGAAAGAATGTTAGCTTATGTGATCAGTAAACCTGAGTAAGTTCAAGAAAATTAAACTGTAGTAGAATAAAATGTACATTGGTGTCACATGCAACACTGATAAACCAAAGCAGATGTAGTTATTATTAAATAAAAACTACTAACCTAGTCTATTTGTCAGTGCTCTACCTTAATTATGTGAACTTGGATTCTTAAAAACTTTCTGAGTTTCTATAAAAGGAGTATTTTTTTTTTTTTTACTTATAGACCATTTAAAGTATTAGAAATTCAATTTCCTTGTTTCTTGGAATTTTAAGCAGATTTTTTTTGTTTTTTTTTTTTTGGTCTTTCTTGAGACAGGGTCTTGCTATGCAGTTCAGGCTGGGCTTGAGCTCACTTTGTAGCCCAGACTGGTCTCGAACTCGCAATGATCCTCCTGCCTCAGCCTCCTGAGTGCTGAGATTACAGGCGTGCACTACCACGCCTGTTAAGCAGATTTCTAAGTACTTTTAAAAACTCCCTACAAGTGATTCGTTAAAGAACTCCTTTGCTTTACATACCATCCTAATCACATTTATTAATATCATCTGGAGGTAGGAAAACTTGACCACCTCACACAATGAGAAAGGGGTCATCCTATAGACACAGAGAGGCTACAGCCTCAGATCCACAAAGTTGAGTCAAGGATCAAATCCATAAAACAGTTAAGGAGCAAATACCTAAGCGCTGGTTTCCTTCCCAGTGGGTATGGAATTCTTGATTGATTTGAACTTAAATAGACTAACAAGAAGATTGACAGAGTACATTCTCTGCCTCTCTCAACAGAGGATGAACTCTGCAGTCTATTAATCCATTTATAGAGATCGCTAAATGTTCTGGTCATAAAAATCTAACTCTGCCAGATGCAGTGGTTCACTCTTGTAATCACAGCTAACTCAGGAGACTGAGGCAGGAGGATCGCAAGTTTGAGGTTAGCCCAGGCAACTTACAGACAACCTGTCTCAAAACACAGTAAAATAAAATTTAAAAAAAAAAAAAGGTTGGGGATATGTCTCAGTCGTAGAGGCCTACCTAGCACATGCAACACTCTGGGTTTGATCCCCAGCATCACAGCCCCGTCCCAATCATTGTTGTCACTGATGGGCCATAACTTATTGGCTATAAACAAGCCAAAAACAAAACACAAGATTAGTAGAGGGAAAGAAAATAGAGAAACAAAGTCAGAAAGATGGAAGGCTCATTGCTACTTGGGATTTACCTCTGAGAACCAGAATAGACTTGCGTGGGTTTAAGCTACATCTGAAGAACCTTGGGCCCTGTTTACCTGGCCCTGTCAGGGGAGGCTGTTGAATATCTGGGAAGGGCCTTCAAACTGTTAAAAAGTAAAACTCAAAAAAGGTAGACTTATGACTCTTATAAAGATAGAAATAAACGTTGCCAAAGACTTTGCTGACCTCATTTAGCAATGATGAGTTGCTACAACCAGTTCAAGGGAAAATTCAAAACACTGCTTCTTATGGTCAGGAAAAAAAGAAAGAAATGAATTTAGAAATAGATGCTAAACTGACCAAATGCTAAACTGGCCAATATCCTCAGCAAAATCACTTGCATTTTACTAGACATAATTTCCATTCCTATTGGGAAGAATTTCTGCATTACTACCCGTTTTCTGCAATTTACAGAGTTGTAAAATAACTCAGTGATAAGGAGAGTTATGTTCCTAAGGATGAACCTGAGGGATGAATTGATCAGACACCCGTCATCATCTCTCTCACACTTTTTCACAGTATCTTTTAGGTAGATATTATTATTATCCCCGTTTTGTGTAGAGAATTCATGCAGACAGAGGTCAAGTCTAGAGTCACACAGCTAGTAAAGGCCGAGACTGAATTTGAACCCCAGCAGTCTGTCTCTACAGTGTGTGTTCACATCTTGCACACCTTACTGCCTCTCTTGGGGTCACTGCCAGTTCTCAAGTGGAGGGGAAGATACACGTATAAGGCTTAACAGATTGCCTGAACTTAGTAAGCTGTTTATAAATAACGCAGCTGTTATAATCACTGAGACTATTATGCATGCAAAGACACAGACATAGGAGCTCGAACAAGGCATACTGAAGTAGTCACCAGGAACTCAGTGTGGTTTTATTAAGGAATGTAGGGGGTGGGTGGAGAGAAATCATGCAGGAACATTAGGGAAAGGCCAGGACCTGGAGGCCTTCTTAGAAGGGTGGGATTTCAGCAAATGTACTCAGGGCCCCTCGCCCCTCATTCTGCAAACTTGCCAGAAGGCTTTAGCCAAATTCTAAAGAGCCTTACCATTCTTAGGAGAGCATAAGAATCAGGCTCTATGGCATTAAGAGCTCCAAAAGGACCAGATGAAAAGCCAGAAATTCTGTCTTCATGTTGACAAGCATCCAAATGTCTGGAAACATGGAGCCAATAAAAATGACCTTTCTCCTTCTTCCTGCAGCTGTTTTGGCATTGAGCAGGAAGTGCTTTTATGTCCTATATTAGGATTTGATGTCTGACCTAAAGTCAGAGCTCTCGCTAACAGGAGGTGGTTAGAGGGGAATGAATGTATGCATGGTGCGTCGGGAGGAAAGAGTGAATAAAGATCTCTTGGTGGCTAGTGAAAGAAAACAACTCATACTGGGTTAGGCAGTATGTCTGTCTCTAAAATGTCCACTGGATTCAGGTATGGCTGGATCCAGGGACTCAATGGTATCAGAACCACTCTGTCTTTTTGCAAGGAACATTCACAGGAGAATACTTCCCAAGCTGTAATGCTGGCCTTACACGTTATCCTCTCTTAAGCCCAGTGGACAAACATTCACTATTTCCTCAGCACCCCATCGGTGTGCTTTGGTTCTGATTCTGTTTTGTCTGAACAGGGTCACATGGCCACATTCAAAGTAGTCATGGTGGCCAGTGGAACCAGTAGACTGATTAATGTGGACTGGGGCCACATCCCCTCTGTTGGAGCTGGGGTGGGAGTTATTTCAACCAAGCCACTGGACTGAGAGTGAGAGAGTTGGTGGTGTCCCTGAAAGCTCTAAAAGTTTCCCTGTCTCTGTCCTAGAGCCTCCCTGGGTGTGAAGGGAGGGGATTCAAGAGCGACTTTCAAGGGTGGAAAGAGAGAGTCATTTCGAAGCTTTAAGGAGCTCAATAGTCCTAAGCAGTCCGCTAGATGGAACAAAGCAGTACCTCTTGCTGGTCAGATTCTTCCATGTAACAGATTAGTCACCCAGCACCTTCTGACTTCACAGCAGCTCAGCAGCACGCAAGAGTCCCTGCTACCCTCACGGAGATTGCTCTCTAAGAGGAGGCTCAGAATAAGCAAATAATTGGATGTGTGTAACATGTCCGATGATGAGAAATGCAAGCAGGAAAGACAAGCAGGCTGAGGGGTACAGAGAGTCCCAGGGTGGTCAAAGAGTTCTTTCTGAAAAGGATATGAGAGGTGAAGTCATGCAGCTGTCCAGGAAACAGAGTTACGAGAAGAGGGAGTGGCAGGATCAAAAGCCTCATGTGACAGTGGCTCCTGACCATCAGATTGACTGAATTAAAAGACGACTAGAGAGGTGATGGGATTGTGAGTGCACTAATCCAATCAGTGGATTAATCCTTTGTTGAGTTCATAGCTGAATGGGATATTAAAAGGTAGGAGTCCTTTGGAAGGAAGTAGGTCATTGAGGTATGACATTGAAGGTACATCTTATCCCCTTTCTCTCTGGTTCTTCCATGCTCTCTGTTTCCCAGCTGCCATGAGCTGAGCAGCTTTCTTCTGCCATGAAGTTTCTCCCTTGGAAACAGCTAACTACGGACTAAAACCTCTGAAACTACAAGACAAAATCTTTCCTCTTTTGATGTCTTTGTTAGTAGCGGAACAGCCATGAAGCTAGTGTGGGTGGAACAGAGTGAACAAAGGGAAGAATGCTAGGAGATGAGGTCAGAGACACAGCGGGAAGACAATATGGTTAGTGTTGGTTTTTACACTGAGTGACGGAGGAAGCAAAGGCCAATGTGACCAGAAGTGTGACATGGTCTGACTTTCAGTTTTGAGGAATCAGCCCACAAGCCAACAAACCAACAGACAGATAACAGAAGGAATACTCCAATAAGTGTATGGAGAATAGATGGCAGTAAGCAGCGGGGTGGGGAGCGGGAAGATGGATCAGTTGTCTGAAGTCAAGAATGCAGGTGAGAGATGCATTCTTGGCCTGGATGAGGCTGCAGTAGTGCAGGTGCAGGCCAGATGTGGCCAGATGCTGGGCATGGGACAAAGCGGCGGAATGAATGAGTGAGCCATCCAGGTGTACCTGCCAGAGTCACATAGCAAGCATGGTGATATTTACTGGTTTTTATGAGGACATTTGTAGACGTTTGGCCAATCAGCAT